ATTTCGCTTTTGGCTGCCGCTGCCGCCTTGTCTCCCAAGCTTGTCTCTCCCTTCATGATTTCGCTTTTGGCTGCCGCTGCCGCCTTGGTCTCAAGCTTGTCTCCCTTCATGATTTCGCTCTTGGCTGCCGCTGCCGTCTTGTTTCTCAAGCTTGTCTCCCTTCATAACTTCGCTCTTGGCTGCCTCTGCCGGCTTGTCATTTTCTTGCATGCCTTTGACGCGGATGCTGTTATAAGATGATTTAGGTCTTGTTTAGCTTTTCCATCCTTTTCCCTGCTTTGAATGGGATGTCTCCCAAGCTTGTCTCCCGCTCTTGCCATGCTATCCTTTTCTTGAAGTGCTATCTGGGGTCTATGCCGGTATATTTTTTGATCCAGTTTTGTTCTGGAACTGAGGCACACACGTGGTGCAACTCCCAGGACAGAGATGCGTTCTTGGTCGATTCGCAGAAGGGACTGCTACAGTGAGAGGTTCGGGCTTGTAGCAGAATCGGAAGCATGTAAGATTGATATCAATTTCACGTGATGTTCTTGATGCTCAGACTGTTGTAAGATGTATGTTCATTTATATAGTTTTTCCAAAACAGTCCCTCGTGCCAGAAGAGAACTACCTACTACATTTGATGAACACTTCAATGCTCTTGCAATGATCAGGGATTCCACCCAACAAGAGCAGTTGAGGAGTGGTCCAAAACGAGAGATCGCAAGCATGCGAGAATTTCTAAGTCAGGTTCCGCTTTTGGCATTGATACGTGCAGGGCTCAAACTTGTCACAGGAAAGAGAGTTTATGGATATATAAACGAACAGAAGGAGAGTATGGGACCCATGAGTATCATGGTGTTGCATTTCAGTACCCTTTGTTTTGCCGATGACGTTTTTGCCGAAGGTGACTCTCAAGTCACAACCACATACCTTCATTGAAATGGTTCTCAATAATGTATAATGATTAAGCTAGATTGTTATCAAGAGCATGAATCGGATAGGAATGTGTTGCTGGGATGAAGCATGTCAAACGAAGGTTGATAGAGACATGTTTGGGAGCTTGGTTTTCTCAGTAAATGGAAAGCACTAGCTTTTCATGTACCGTAATCAGGAAGATAATGACTGTCTTGGGAACGAAGATATCATAAGATACTCTATCAATTCTGGCATATGAGCAAGGATGCATTTCCCAAGTCCATTGACCGGCTCGCCATGCATTACTACCATAAAGATTCCATAGGGCGGCAGTGGGCGCTCAGTTGACGGACTTCATGCATTTCAACAGCTGATCAGAACCAGGTATCCAACGGTCTCAGTGCAACTTTCAATCTGGCACCAGGCACTTTCAATTCGATGCTTCTGGGCAGTGGCTTATCACAGCGAATCAGGACTCCGCTTGTGACGCTCCCTTACACGATATTGGTACTTCATCACATCTCAAATGTAATCGGGTTAGTCAACCTTATTGGAAGTGATGGCCTCATGACCTCCAACCAAATAGCGATGGCCTCCAACCTAAAAGTGGAGCCAGTAATTGATCAGTTGACGTCGGCCCGATGTAGGATGAACACATTCCGGGGCCAGAAACATGCACAATCTTAAGAAGGGATGTTGGTGGATGTCGCTAACAAGTTTATGGGAATACGGCAATTTTTCTGAAACTAAAGGTATTAGGCCAATATGTTTGGGCCGGTTCCAAATCAGGACTCTGACAACATCTCAGTCTTCAGATTTAACTTGGCCACTGGCAAGCTGGAGTTTACTGGAAATGAGTGCGCCCCTAGTGGCCTTTTTGCCTTGGTGTAGACTGGAAGACTGTACCACCCAAGGTACGAGGTGCCTTCGCCCAACTTTGTTTGCAACATGATTCCACATCGGTGGCTTGCTGATGAATTGGTTGAGTGCGATGAAACCAGGACAGAAATCACACTTTACTCTAGAATTGAATGCCCATGTCATTTATGACAAATTGTACTTTGCAACTGTGTTGCGTCTACAACTTGGAATTCTCATTGAGTGCTCCATGAGACAGACGCATCAGAGGCCATCCAAAAATATGATGCCTATGCAATGCTCGTTTTCTTTCACATGTTGACCTTTCACCATGTGCTGAGGCCTGCGGGGCTCTCAACCCTTTGAGCTGAGAGTTAGGGCGTTTTTGAAGCCGAAAGCTTTTGTAAGGCGCCAGAATGGTGGACTAAATGGCTTCTCAGACGGCAGATGCTTTTGTTGCCACAAAGCACCATAAGGTCGAGTTGGATTCCTTGTTGGTCCTGCCGTGGTGCTTGAAGTCCGCGTGAAGCCATAAGCTTTAGTGAGGCTGTGTAAAGTCTCGGCCACTTCGCCTGTTTTTGCGCCGTAAGCCTCGCCCTGAACCTAGCAGTGCCCAAAAAACGTTCGGCGGACCTTCTCCACAAGTTAAGTTTCCCCAAAAGTAACCAAATGAATAGAGCGTAAGCTACTAGCTACCTAGCTTCTACTAGCTACCTAGTTACCTCTACGGCCTACCCCCCGAGCTAAAAAAAGAAAAGTGTGGTGGTCATGCCGCTTACACTGTCACACTTTCGGCTTTGGAGCGAGTCCTTTCTGCTGGGACTTTTGGGCCAAGATAAATGTGCCAAGATAATTTCTCATCCTGCGGTCCTACTACTGAACTCTACAGTGGTGCTGAGCAACAAATGCTATGACCTACCATCCAGCTAAGAAACACACCATATATGATCTAATGATATCTAATGCATCATATGCATTTTTAAAGTTTGCACATGAGGCAGACTTGCTTACTAAACCACAGGCAGCAAGAGTCAGCCAAGCCTCCAAGTGCAGCAACACTCAGCTCTATTTAGTGTGAGAGGCAAGCATGTCGAGCCCTCAGATGCAACATTGTTAAAGTAACTTGTGGGATTTTGTAATATAGGATACATGAAATAGGCTTATAGTAGTCAGCCCTTCATTGATATTCTTTGGTGTTCATTGAAGCACTCGAGCCTGCCTTGTACCAAGGTGGCATTTGAACATTCCCATTTTCCGGCGTTTGGACAAGGCAGTAGCAGAGTTTCAACATGAGTTGAACTTTCGACATTGCAAGTCTTTGCTCAAAAAGGACATTGCCTGGCCATTTGTTGTTGAACAGATCCCACCAAGACCTTGATGCTTGAAACCATCAAGAGTCCTATTACTTAAAAAGCACGTGTCCCGTGTCCGGCCCCAGGTATTCTTTTTGTATATTTGGGTTGAACATTTTGCCCTTTCAAAGCTCCTACAGCTCCTACTCGTGACTTCCAACTGTTACGTTCTATAGGTTTGGGGGCATGTGTGGACTTGCCCCTATTACTTGAAACATTCTAGAGTTGGAGGCTTTTCATACTAGGTGGCCCCCCAGTTTACTTTCAGGCAGTAGGGATTATCATGTCATTAAAAAAGAATAGAGGTTGATAAGTGATAAGGCACCTTTAAAGAGGGCCTTATCAAAGGGGCACTTCCCTGGCATTTTTCCTTCTTTAAGATTCTTCTCATTCAACACTGGGATCTCGAAAGGTTGCTGAGCATGAGAAGCATGCTGCGGAACCCTAAGAAATGACGGGCAGACACAGCTGTCATACATGATTGCACTTTCGTTTCATGTCTTTGTTGTATACATTTGTCGGTATAATTCAAAGTAAACGGACACGCTGTATAGCATCCAGCGCCCCTAAACCGAGCCATCTTCCAAACCTTGGAGATGTGCCTGGCAACAGATCCTGCTAGATCAGGTCTTGTCGCTGGCAAGGACTGCAGTGAACTGGGAAAGGAATCATAAGGAATCACGTCATCCCTTGAGTCGCTCCAGTGCGTACACTTGAAGTGAGTTCAAGAGTTCAGCAGCCCCTTAAGATTATAGACCTCCTGTGAGCAAACCTAAGAATCAATGGTTGTTGGGTTGCAGATGTGTCCTCGAAATGAGATGAAACTAGCACTGCGTGGAGACCTCGACAAGCAAGCATTGCACAAACAAGTACTGCCTCTGCTCTGGGCGTTTTGGTTAAAGCACAGGTAGGATCAGGTAGGCTTTTTCCAAAAAATCAAGGAACCAAATTAATAGTGCGTGAGCTATCCTGCGTCCAGTAGCTCGTAGCATCCACTTGCTAGTATCGCCCCTAATTAAGTAGGCGCCTACTTGAGTACTGTAAGTAGCAGGAGGCAGGAGGCCAGCGTGGCCTTAAAAATGACTCTTTTATACTAGGTTCTGATGTCTTGGGACTTGTGGCCTCTAGTGAGAAAGGACTTCAGCCCAGAAGTCCTAGGTCATCTGAGTATTCACTGATTTGATTTTGCATATACATTTACATGACTTGGGAGTAGGGGACACATCGAACGCTTATGTCATAAGTTGCGTTGTCCACGCAGGTGCTGGTTTTCTTTTTTATTTTTGGGCTTGGGAGGCTGGCACGGTCTTGAGCGGCATCTTACTTGAAGCTTGGGACTTGTGGGCTCTAGTGAAAAAGGACCTCGACATGAAAGTCCTAGCCAGCTCTTTCTTTTTCACGCCCTTGCTGTCTCTACGGTTGTTCCTTGCTGGGTTTTGTCTTCCAGCTGCTAACGCACCCAAGGTTTGTCTCACGACACACAACTGCACACAAAAACAAAGGTTAGCCTCAGGTTTTTATGAGGTGGTCTTGCACTAACCTGTTTTTGGCTTTGGTAAAGTGATGACTTGGGAGTTGCAGGACATGTTCATAGAGAGATGACATAGACCTTAGTGATTTCAGCATGCGTTTTACAACTCCTTAGTCACCAGAGCTCAGTATATATTCTACGAGGCCTTTCACTCTTGTATTTGCTTCGGGTCCGGGAGACTGAAGCGAGGACTTGGTGGGGCTTTGCAGAGGGTGTGCCGCAGGCCGCTTGGTAGTTACTAGAAGCAAGAATGCTCCTAGTAGCGATGCCAGGAGCCCCTGCAATTGACAGGTGAAGCCATGAAAGACTTGAAATTGACTTGTGGTCCATTTCTTGACAGGTGCTGAAGACGGTCCGCCTCAAAGGCGGGATCAAAAAACGAAAAAGAGATACACTTGGAAGATTGAACCCGAGCCGTGAAATTCAGGCAGATATTGTCAATGCGCAGATCCGCACATGTGATTAACTCCAAGTCCCAGTGTGAGGTTTGGTGCCACTGGGCGACACCCGTGTGGCCTTACCCCGACCTGTGTCCCTCAAAGAGGCTCCAAAGCAGGAGGCCTGGGCTTCAGGGCAGGCAAAAAGAACAGCAATCGAATGCTCTCGAAGAAAGCAATTACCGCGGCTGCTGTGTGGTTCCAACATGTTTTTCTCACACCGAAGCATCTTGATTCTCCTTCAATGCGTTTCAACAGGATCCCGTTGGATGGCAAATCCAAATATGCGTGGGCGGTGTGGACTGCTCGAATTCGGAATTGAGGTGCATGCGCATGTTTCTCAGAGTCAGGATCTATCTGTGCAGTCCACCAGCAACAATGACGTGAGCTTTGAGGCCCTGAATGTGACAAAGCGCTTGGTGCTGTGTTGGCGGCTCTCGGATTCTGTGGGTCACGTCAACACCTCGGGTGGCTGACCCAAGTGGAATCATGTGATCATGTGGCCATTTTGGAGGGTCGAGGTTTTGGCCCACATCCATTTTGGATCGGTGCGTTCCAGTAACCATCAGTTTTCATCAGTTTTACTACGGTACCAGTGGGTTTCCATAGCGCTGGACAAATGCAAGAAGTCAATACAAACTCTCAGATGCTCACCTAATACTTGTTTCCTTTGTGTTCCGCAGGTCTTGCGAGCTGCTGCGCGTGGCGCAGGAAGCAGCATCCAAAGCCAGGGTCAGCGTGGCCATACTGTCGTGGAAGGCTCCAGCACCAGCAAGAAGCATCAGTCGATACCAATCGGTAAAGTCCATGACACCATTGGCAACTGCTTTTTCTAGGCTAGCAAGTCTTGGCGCCTTTGTGAGAGATGGATGTATAATGATGTGTATATATATAAACATCGCTTGAGAATACTATTCCAGCAACCACGGAAAATGGAGTTTATGGGTGAGTTGAAGTGTTTGAGCAGTTTAAACAGCTTGTGATTAGCTCGCAGTTGCTGTTTGTGAACAATGTGCAATGTCTAGCGGTGGCTTCAGGCTTCTTGGACCGACACATCCAAACAGGATAGCTTGAGTTTTCATCGGGGCATTTTGTGAACCATATTTTTGTCCCATAGATCTTGAGCATTTACAATTTATACTTTAGCTACCAGCGATGGATAGATTTCAACGACGTCCCTTCTTTCCTAGATTTGAATGGCATGTACATGGAAGGACAGCTTTTGACGCCCGATCAGATGCCGCTTTCTTCATCTTTATCTCCCCTCATGTGGAACTCCCTGTCAGGTGGCAAAGTGCGAGCCGTGAAACCACTAGCAAGCCAGGGGCTCGGGAACTGTGTGGTGGCGCAGTCTAACTCGACAACTCCATTCTTTCCTCACCGTCACCCCAGCTTGAACATGTTCGTGATTCTGCCACAGAACATGGACTGGCCCAAAGTGAGGATTCCGTTCTCAAGCCTTGCAGGGCCAAGCACTGTATCCACCTTGCAAGGCTCCTGCAGTGTTTTCCGCTTGCGGCCACTGCCTTGGGATTTTAATCTTGACAACCTGTCAACGTAACGATCCACAACATGTGAATGTGAATCAGCAAGTTGGTTTCGTCTAGATTCACAGAGATTCGCAATGCTTGAGATGAGCGGAGATGGACACCAAGTGATTCAGAAGTATACAGTGCAGGATATAGGTCAAGACTTTTGCTCTTTGTTGCCGGCTCCGGACTGCTTTAAGGCAGGGTATCTCAGCCGGTCAGCCAACTGAGCGCATTGGGAGCAGGATCATGTAGTATGCCAAAAGCATCTCCAGCAGGTTTTTGAGTTGCGGTTCCCGCACCCTTGCAACTCTCCTTATATACGGGGCGCTATGTCAGTCTATGCGGCGCCAGTACAGAGATCCCAGAGATCAGAGAAGGCAGAGGACGCATCGGGCCAAGACAGCATCATGGTTCTCCAGGTGGTGTTTCAACAATTCCACAACTTAACAAGATGGCCCTATGCTGGTTGACCATGGTTGACTTGGTCCGAATGAAGCCCTGAGCACTGCCTTCTTAAAGCCCAGACCACATTTGATTGACGAGGCTTCGGATCGAGGCTGAAAGGTACAGCTTTGGTGGATGCTGGGCCTACAGGGGGAGCCAGTTTGGTGATTTGTTGGAGGCCTTCCTCGAAAGATTGAGCGTTTGATGGGCCTTTGAAATGACAACACTATCTCACTCAAAAGATTTGATATGCAATGGGGTTGTGAACACGATATATACATCGAGATGAAAGTCGTGAGACACTTTAATCCTGCCCTGATACCTTAAGAAATCATAAGACCTATGAGATGCACATGTCCAACAAAAGGCAGCCTAGTTTTTTGGATGAGTCAACAGTTGCAAGAGGTTGGCCCCTCAGAGACAATCTGAAAAATAGCTCGGGCGACCGTCGACCTTTGAATTTCCTACCCTGGACTCAAAATAGCGACCACCCACGCAGGTCTAGCTCCGGCAGCCGGAAAGCTCAGGTGGGACGGCACCCTGCGAGTCGGGGTAACGAAAAAAACATGACATTGATGCCATTGTGACATGATATACACGTGTATATTTCATGTCAATTTGTTTCGGGTTCTTGTTCACTGAACACGCATCTCTAGCAATTTTTCTTAATTTATTGTTTGCTGCTGCTTCTTGATGCAGGAATACCGGAAACAGCACGAGATGAAGGCCAACCGAACTTATTGTTGCAAGAAATCGCAGCCAAGATTGACAGCCTGACAGATTGCGCTTTGAACATGTATGAACATTTGGAGAATCCCTTCCTCGGCGTCGTTGAGGGCGCCTCATTGCGTTCCTTCTTTGCCAGGTGATCAGCACTTTCAGTGGGACGGTGCCACAACCGATCCAGGAGTTTCAGGTGTGGCTTCAGATGCAAAGAAGGTGAAAATATTCACAGATGCACTTGGCCTTCCCACTGAATCCCAGAGTGTGTGGACACGATAAGGGTTTGATGCATGGTAGGAAGGACCTTGGTAGCAGTGTCATTGACCTTGGCCCCTGGCCCGAATAGTTAGACTTTTAGACTTGCCTAGCCCCTACCCGTCTTCCAGCTTACCCCCCCCAAAAAGGATTCAACCAACCAAGCATTTCTAGAATGAAGAGACCACCGAACCATCTAACAACACCACAACAACCTAATTACCAACAAACTAAAAACACAAACAGTCTCACCTAAAACCAAAACCACAACAACCTAACAACAAACCAAAGCCAGAACCGTCTCAAAAAAACACATCATAAGAAGCACGAACCGCCAGAAAATCAACAAGGCCGCTAAAAGTCATGCTAAATAGTCTCACCAAACGAAGACACTTGAAGATTATACCAACAGTATTTACTTGAAAAAGCCTACACTGGCCTACACACTTTACCTGAAACTATCTCAAGAAGGTTGGGCAAGGTTGCCCCGCATTCAAAGTTACATCATCAAATTTAGGGGCATGGCGGTTTATTCACTCACTCTAGATACTCTAGAAAGGTGTTTGGCTGGTGACTGTGATGTTCAGATGTTGGCGTGTTGGTAACTGGAAGATGGGCAAGGGCTAGTCTAAGTCTAATCCTCTGGGCTTGAAGCAATTTGTTCTTTATCCACTAGGAGCAAGGACGCTACTAGGGGCTCCCTGGCCTTACTACTAGGAACAAGAAGCTACTAGGGGCTCCTGGCATCGCTACTAGGAGCAAGGACGCTACTAGTCTGTTGCTTGTGCCAGCGCAACATCCAGCAACCAGATCTGTCAGCTCTCCAGGCAGCTGGGCTTCCAGAGCAGGTCTTGAAGGAGATCTATGACGCGAACTTCGTGGAGCCCACACCGATTCAGGCAAGTGAGCCATCCTTCAAGACAAACATGAGCAGGACTCAGCAGTTCCCTGAATTGCATTCTCAGATCATCTCAGATCACCAGCAATGTCCTTGCTTGGCAAGTTGGTCTGTGAGGCTCAATGTTGGCCAATCTTGAGCGCCGGACATGACTTGATCGGGATCGCAAAAAGTGGCAGCGGCAAAACCTTGGCGTGGCCTCCTCAGATTGAGATGGGTTTCCTTGACTCCGGCAATATAGGAAGCAACGTGAGCAAGGCAAGAGTATCGGTTAAGTCTAAGTCTAAGCAACACAGTTGAAAGTGGTCTTCAGCATTGTGTGATCCTGTGACTGCAAGCGCTTCCTTGACCTGATGCATGTGGCTGCTTTCGTCAAGCTTGTTTTCGTCCACTGCTTAAGCTCGTTGAGCTTCTGTGCCATGGACTGCTTACCCCAGAGGCCGCCAGGGCCGGTCACGAAACAGATACCGCGCCTTGATGAGGCCATTTCCAGTCTGGAAGAGCTTCAACAAAGTGATGAAATTGAAGCCGCAATGTCGCTCCTCATGCGTCTCATCGCCATCGACGAATCAATATTTTGTGCGATCTTTCAGCATCTCGGATTGAGCTGAAGTGATTTGATGTTTGATTGCATTGACTAGTTGCCAGTTGGATACTGCGGAGAAGTTATAAGTTCAGACATCCTTGGGCCTGACCCGGGCTGTTGCCCACAAGCCTTAGGCATGTCGAGGAGGAGACCTTGGGGGTGCGGGACATCATGGGCCGCACTTTGCTTCACTATGCAGCCACTTTAGGCACAAGCAACATCAACCAATACTGAAGAAGTGAGCACTTTCTGCCACCTCTTTCTTGTAATCTTCTGTCACCCCATTTCTTTGTCCACGCTTGCTGTTCATGTTTCCTGACTTTACATAATGTGGTGATGGAGCAATGGTGAGCAACAAGTCCATTGCAAGATTCTTGATCCGCAAGCGTAGCAGGTCGTCTCAGCGCCTTGTCCTTGCTGCTGGCCTGCCCGGCAGTGGACCCCAACTGCCGGGATGATCGCGGGGACACTGCACTCCACCTGGCAGCTGGCAACGGGGAGCGCGGTGCCTGCGAGCTTCTGCTGAAGAATCATCGTGTTGATCGCAGCGTGCAGGACGAGGATGGCCGGACTGCACTCGACATCGCACATTCTTCGGCGGCGCACTACTTTGCTACCGAGGCGGTTCATGCCCTTGCACTCTGAATTGATGCAGCAGATGTCATGAGCATGGTTGTGAGCTATCTCATGATCTATGTCATTATGTGAATGAGTCAGACAGCCATTTTCCACGGGCTCGTTCATGTTCCAGTCTTCGAGATAATAAGCATCTCCCGCGTAGCTTGAAGGTCATCGAAGTCCACCTGGGCTCCGCAATTCTTTAAGAAGGGCCTTCTTTGTCCATCGTTCGGGCAACCACTCAGCTGCGCTCAAAAATGTGGCGAGGAAAGTGCATCGTCGAGACACAACAACCTGGTTTAAACATGTTTAAACACTGACCAGCGCGCAGAAGACAGGACAGTCAGACTTCTCACCCGGAGGAAGTCATTCATAAACGGCCAGTTTGACTGTGCGCCTTCATTCATGCAGAGCAAGGGGCAAATGATGCACGTGCCATGCTTCTGAGGTTTCTTGGACCCGGCTTTGCGCAAATCCTGCGCAGCGGTGCCGATGTACATAAAGGGCCCATGGTACCATCCCACCCGTCTTGCAGTGCTTACAGTGGACTTCCTGTTTAGCGATTGATTTGCCATAATGTACACACTGTGAAACTGCTCTAACGTGCGCAGTGAGGTAAACGGACCAACCTCCAGGTGCTCCGCCCTTCCTGGAGCAGTAGGAGAAAAGTGTCTGAAGAGAAACTGAACAGCATGCCTGTGCCTGTTCGCCCTGTTCGCATTGGCAGTCAATTTTCTCAGTTCGACATTTCTTGTGAACACGGAAGCCCCGGTGCCAAGCTCAAACATTCGCAGTATTCCAGAGTGTTTCAACAGAGGCTCTGGTTTCATACCCGAATGATTAAATACAGGGTTGACACTTCGACATGAGCTACTTACCCAAACCTGAAGCCTTTTCCGAGCTCCGATGACACAGGTGCGCATTGGTTCCGAGGGAGAGTCTGTAATTCCTGTGGCATGCTGGGTAGGCTAAGCGTTCAGTATGCTTCATCCACACACACAGTGAAGGCCATTCTTTGAGGACAAAAAAGGGTCAGCTCAGTCAGCTCCTGCTTCAGGATGCATGAAGTTTGCCAAGCTCTTGGACGAATATCAGCTCGCGGAATGGCGCGGGTCTGTCCCTAAGCTTCTGAGGTACGGTTGGGGGGAGAGAAGGGAAGGGTGGAAGGCCTTCACTTCACTGTGCTTGCTCCATTCTTTTTTCCCCAGATAGCACGAACTATTGGGGGTCTTACCTCAAGTATATAATTATAGGAAGAGGTATGAAGAGGTGCCTGTGTGTGCTTTGGAGCCTGGTGCCGCTGGTGCTGCTGCCAGATATGCATGGCCGTGTGCGCTTTGGAGCTTGCCGGTGCCACTGCAGGGTACCGTACGGCTTCAGAGTGCCACTTAGATGCCTGTAGCCGTGTGCACACTGGAGCCGGGTGCTGATATCGCTGCAGCCCCAGATAGCGAGAGCTATTGGGGTTCTTACTTCAAGAAAAGGAAGAGGTGCCCGTGTTCGCCTTGGAGCCTGGGTGGTGGTGCCAGTGCAGGGTGCCGATGCCAGTTGTGTGGCCGTGTGCGCTTTGGAGCTGGTGCCGCTGCAGGGTGCTGCTGCGAGATGTCGATGGCCGTGTGCGCCTTGGGAGGTTGGGTGCTGGTGCCATTGCAGGCGACTTGCACCAGATGTGCGAGGCTGTCTGCGCTGTGAGCCTGCGCGCTGGTGCTGCTGCAGAGGTTCCGCTTCCAGATGCCTATGGCAGTTTGAGCTTTCGAGCCTGTGTGTCAGTGTTGCTGCAGGCCGCTGCAGGGTGCCATGCCAAGTGTTTATGGCAGTGCTCGATTTGGAGTGTGGGTGCTGGTGCCATGCTGCCCACACATGTTGTTTGCTATCTGGGGTTCTATGCTAGCGTAGTTTGCTGACTGCGCATATTTGTATGAGGAACAAACTTGACCTTGCTTGACTTCAAAACTGTGAAGCGCAGCTGGACAGTCTTGAGGACGTACATACCCTACTACTTCCTGAAGAAGTCTGAGTCCTGGCCTTCCTGTTGTTCGCGTTGTTTGGAATGCAGTTGCAGAAAGACTATATACTTGTTCAAAGATGAAATGTGTGCGGTCGCAACGGACACGCAACACCTTCCGCCTGCATTGAGTTGTTTCGGAGCTTTGCCTCAGTATACCCCTCTTCTTGGACAAACCGTTTTCCTTCTGCAGGACTGCGCTTTAGAGAGTCTTGGGACCAAACAATCCAAAGGATGCCACTACTAGGCAGAGCCCAAGTGTGCAGGGTTTGTTGGGTGTTGGATGTTGTTGGTGACTATGTGGTTTGTTTCAGTTGACTCATCGATTGAGCTGCTGAGTGATTAATGGCTCTACCAAGGCGGCTCAATGAGATCGCAACTTCCCGCCTGCAAGATGCCCTTCGCGAATTGCAGGGCGTCCATGTCGCAGGGGCTTGAGCAATGGAGGACATCTACACAATGGGGAGGACCAATTTACAACCAAAGCTCGTGGACTCTGCACACGCCGCTGCAGTTGTGTAAAATTATTGTTGCTACTCGTCGTACATTGCACAATCTCGCTTTCAACCATGCCACCGAGTACAGCTTTTGGATGGCATCCACATCGGTTTTCGACATTAAAGGTCCTAGGTGACAAAGGTTGTGTTCCTTCACCCCAGTGTGTTCATGCAGTTCCATTTTAGCCCAATGTTTTTTAGTCACTGTGGGGTGATTTGCACTTTTGCAGCAGTTTGATGAACGGTATTGGGCTGAAAGAGAATCCAAAGCACCAGAAACCCACCAAGCTGCTGTAGATAGTGCTGCAGCGAAGGATGTGGGAACTGAAAGCACCAGAGACAACCTATTTGTTTAAGACTGTGCTGTTCTACTGCGAGGTAGAGTTGGAAAGAACTGGGACATCGAAGTGCCGGGAACAAACCTATTTGCTCCTACTTGTATCTGGTGCAGCTGTTGAGTTGCTTTTGCTGGTTGGGGCCATGATGTCACTGCCCTTATTGACACGATGTCACATATGTCAGGTTTTGAAATAGTGAAATCAAGTGATGCCTTACTTGCCGTGCAAATAGAATATGCATGAATATGCACCTTTTTTTCTCCAGAGCACATTTCTTCCATAGTAGTGCACGGTACTATAGTTGGTACGCGAACAATCGCGAACAGCTTCCGAGTCTCAGTACAGCGAACGGTGAAACTCAAGCCTCAAGGCCCTCGGAAGACTCAGTTCGTCCCGACTGGACGCCACGGCTTGGAGAAGCCCTGAGCATTGCGTATGGGTTGCCCGCTCACAAACTCCCGCAGTCGGTCCCTCGATGGCGACGTGAGGTCGCGCGACCACGAAAAGTTGAAGGCTTCAAGACCAACATGAACTCCCAAATCCGGCAGAGAAACTCTCTGAATCTCAGGCAAAACACCAGCAGTCCAAAAAATGGAAAACAACTCCTTCTTAAGCTTTCTGAGGTTTGCTGAAAAGGTAGTGGGGACGAAGCAGTTCACAGCGCTACCTGTACATATTTCAGTGAAAGAAGATCTGTGGTCTAAACAAAAAGCCACACAGATCTCCGCTATGCTAATCACTCCGCTGAACTCCGCCGTCTCCTCGATCTCGATGATCCAGTCCACCATACTTGAAAACATCTTCATTGCGAATTCGTGCAGCACCGGAACACATTGCAACCAATATAGTTGGTACGTAGTAATTGGACCGCGACCATGAAGTCAACCTACAAGCTCCTGATCAGCAAGGCTGGCCTTGCAGTCATTCCTTCCTACATTTGTGTGCATTCTCCAGCAATGGACGCTACTAGGAGCTCCTGGCCTTACTACTAGGAGCAAGGACGCTACTAGGGGCTCCTGGCATCGCTACTAGGAGCAGTTGGATTGCGCCTCAACATGGACAGCTCTCATGAGCACCTCTACCACGTAATGGCTGCGCCGATGGGGAATCCTGAGGTACCTCCATCAGGAGCAGACTATGGATTCACAGGCAGCTCAACCATTTCTTTTGGTCAGATTTTTCATACTTGCTCATACCCAACATTCGTGTATACCAATATGTAAACCTAACCTTAACCTCATCCAAGTGATCATTCAACATTGCAATGTGTTCTGAGGTCGAGGAGATCCACTCCGAGCTCTCAAGGCCGCAGCCTGAGACGGGTTTTCTATCACGTGGTGCTTTCACTTAGAAACACAAGACGCGTAGTATATAAAGCAATTAAAAGTATGCCAGTCATGAAAACAGAATGAAACAATGACTTGTAAGTTATCGAATATCATTACAACAACACAGTAGTGTGCCATGTCTTGACAAAGCCATAATCACCACAGTTCGGCACCTCCACGCAAGAACAGGTGGACGGCGCCTAAGTGCCCCAGTGTTGGGGCAGCCCAGAGTTATTTTCATCTCACTGTGGTGGGCCAGGGTCCATGGTGACGTCACATCTTCCTGAAAAAGACCATGAGAGTGAGGGGTAAGTTTTAGCGATGCAAGCACTCAGAAAGCAACCAATCTATTTGGATGACCTTGAAGCCATGGCCCTTTGGCTCTTGAAGAGTTGATACTGGAATCATTATGTTGACATTGGAGCTTTGACTCACCTTGGTTTGCGCCTTGACTATTGACTTCTTTATGCCCCTTTTATACTGCCTTGCCAGACCATTGGTAATCGTGTTTCCCCTGCCGGACTACTGCTAAATCGGGACACTTACAGAATGTATCTACGTCGTTGCATTATGAAATTCATTCTCATACACACTCCCTGGCAGATCCCTGTCCTTGATTGAAGTGGCTCAGGACATCATTTGAAGTTGCTGAAGCCACAGGATCTCCAGATTTGCATACACAAGATGTTGCACGCGAGGCTCGTTTGGAAGGTTAAGAGCTGCCGATGTTGGAATGGGTTAATAAGTAGTAAGGCAGTGCCTGAGGGCTCATGCAGCCATTGACGGAGTGGGTGGCAGTGTCTACCAAACATTGAAATTATTGTTGGCATCGGGGTGCTTGAACTGGTAGTGCTCTAGACTAGGCCCTAGGCCTCCTTCCTTTGTCCCTCGGGCCTTGCTCCCAGGCATGGTTGGGAGCGTTGAAGAGAGAGGCCATCGACCTGAGACAACAGTTGTTCAATTCACAGTCATTGAATTTGCATTCCCCAAGCGCACATATTTAGCTGAGTCCGTCAACCATGAGAGCAGCTCGGCACTTCTTGAAAAACATAGCTTCTATCACATGCTGCCAGAGTGTGTCCAGTGGAGCAGCAAACATTATGGATGCTGTATGATGAGAGGCAGCTGGAACGGGTAGAAACTCCATGTATGCATGATTTCCCTGTTTACAGAGACCAGGTATAGTCTCATGGGGAGTATTCTCAGGTTTTCAAGAAATCTGATTCTCTGTAGGTGAGGCGTGTGGATTCCAATGTGAATCGTGGCCTTCAGGCCACGGCATTGCTGAATTCGGGGGATTCCAGCGCGCTGAAGAGCAACCATGAGAACGCTCCACAAGTTTAATGACAATGTCAAACATGACCCCCCCACCCAGTGGAGAAAACTTATTGAAGTCATCTTTCAAGGACACTTTTAGTTGGGGACGCGCAGGTTTTTGCTTTACTTTTTATTGGCATTGACTGGAGTTTTGACATGCTGTTGTGATACAGATAGGAGCCTTGAAGCTCTTGTTTTAGCAATTCATCCTCACACGGTGTTGCCAGGAGCTGCAACAGCAGTTTCTAGACCTCATGCAGCTCTCACAGGGCTCGCACCCTGCATGCTTGGAAGTTTGGAAGGGGACGCTAGTGATAGTGTCTCGAAGGGCAAACATGGTTGAAAAACAGCAAACCACATGAGTGAGGCTTTATATGGCTTTACGATGCTTCATGCCAGGCTTTGACCGTAAAGGTTTTGCCATGTGGGGAATGCGGCACGTCTCGTTTCGCAGACTTTGCCGGCTGCTTTCTGAGACGCATACTTTCGTCACCGCAGTCGCTCCTTTGCATTGAGACACAATGGCTCCATGAAGCAACTCTGCAAAAGACAAGACAAAGCCCTGCCAATCTCACAGCAGAATTGGCAGCGCATAGCAGCAAAACAAACAAATTGAAGAATTCCCCTTTGTGTTCCAGGGGACTAACCAACAGTCAACAGTTTCTACTCCGGTACAAAGGTTACCAAACAGCAAGTCGTTTCTTTTGTCAGGTCAGATCAGCCAGAGCCATGCCACCGAAGCCGGCGCCCAAGCCTAAGGCTACAGGGAAGGCGGCGGCGCGAAAGCCAAGCAACTCAAACCCGGGGAAAGGATCCTTGCAGAAACACAATGATGGACACGCGGAGACATGGAAACGCCGAGCCGCAGTGGAAACGACTCCCAAACAATCACATCAATCCCTTCAAAACAGCCAGTTCACCCATAGCCAGAGGTTTCAAGACCACATGGCCATCGCATGTCATCTATATAAATTGGATGTTTCATTGAGAGATTGAGAGGTGTATGGAAGATAAAGGAATGATGTCATGTTGCATCTAAGGAGGCAAGAAAGGTGCTCCGCCCGCGATTGAGATTGACCAGAAAGCATTGGACGCAACGAAAGCGCCAAAGCGAGATCCACCTTTGAAAGTTGGAGGCGTTGAGGTGGTTGGACAACACAACCTGTCTCGCATTCTTTTGGAGTCCATCGTAGCCCTGCCCTTTGCCAGAGGCAATTCGAAAGTGTGCTTGAGGCGCATCTCCATTTTTCAGAAGGCGCCTGAACGAATCGGGCCTCCAGTGGCCTCCTCCCCGTCGGCTGGACCCAGAAGTGCAAGGAGCGCAAAGGGTCCTCCAGTTGACGTGCCAATTGTATTTCACCAAATGGATGAAACTCATTTGGAAGAAGCTGACTGCCCCTCCCTCTTCTTAGCACTAGCATGCGGGGTGGAAGCCACAAAGCCATGCCTATTACGTGTGGGGCCGGCTGATCTCTTGGAAGAAGAGGCCAACTCCTTTCCCATTTTCGAGGCTTATGGCCCGTGGTCTCCAAAACTGAAGGAAGCGAAGGTCATCGCCACGAGGCACAAACATAGCATTATGGTGATTCCATTGGCCGGTGGGCAATGCTTGCTGCCGCCTTTGGCGGCGGAACCTGCCCTTGAGCAAATCACTTGCTTCACCAAGAGCTTTACTGATGCCTTGTTGGCCAATGATGGCAATGAGGTGCCCGTAGCGGTCAGTCGCGCATTGAAGGCCACACAACATGTCTGCTGCAGCATTTTGCTGCAGCCGATGCTGAATGCATCTGAAGAAGTGCTGAATTTGAACCAAGTGTTCAGCAATCTTGAGGATTTGATGCTAGGCGGGAACTGAGAGGATTGGGGCGGGAACCAGCCGCATTCTTACTTCATGTCAATGTATACACACGAGGACAAAGGTTTTGTTCTGTTCAGATTTCCACAGTAGTGGCAACCTTTTCCCAATAGATATCCTCCAAGAAGAGACTTGTGGGTCCACGCAGTTGAATGTTTCCCTTCCTGTTTACATGTTATACGTTACACGTTATAAATTCAACAGAGGTGATACTCGATCGTCCCAGAATGCAACATGAACGTTCTCACGCGACTGCTGCCCACACAGCTTAGCTTAGATGTTGTGATCGCGGCCAAGAAGAAGTCAACACTTTGATGTCGAAGGGAGTTGAGGAAGGGTGAGGCGGTTGGTTGGCTCCTGCACAACTGTAAGTGAACCCACTGACCTTGAGGAAGGGATCCTCCTGGAATAACATGCTCGTTCATCGTCTCGTCTGGCAGGGAAGACACACCCAGAGCTGAGCGTGGATTTCTATGATGGTCAAGGGGCCAATGCCATTGGCCTAGAGAAGGAACAGATTGATGAACTGAGAGGAGGACCTTTGACGGATGGCACACCAATCGGAGACCTCAACAAGATGGTGGGGGCCCTGGTCGGCGTGTGTTTTTTGAGTTTCCAAAAGATCAGACATCGGACTGACTTGAAAACCTGAGATGTGGTGAGATCAGGGAAATAGAGCTGAAGGAACTCAACCAAGGCCAGTTGTGTTTGTGCCTGCAAAGAATAGTGGACCCCTTGAGGACTTACTGGTGTGTCGTCTCAGACTATGAGAGGTTTGGAACATGGTTCCACAAAACAACAATTTGCCACCCCGGTATTTCCATGTATTTCCCTTTTCTTTTTTTATTGTTGCCAGCATCTTGACACCCTTTGCTTCTTGCCGATACCATTTTGTTATAGTTTGCTGCCTGTGAGCTCTTCCCACGGGATGACTGCATAGAGTGATGGACGTCCTTGGCAAGTATTCAGGTCTGGGATTTGGTGCCTGGCATGAAACAGACAAGGCCCACACAATTCCTTGCGTGGTTCCATTCGCAGATGCAGCAATCTGGCACTCGCTGGAAGTTGAAGGCGCCTTTCAAGCCCGACCTTTCACACGCTAGTTTTGACGGATTGATGAGTCTGTGATGCCACAGCATTTCATTGTAGAATCAGAAAATATGGTGGATCAGCTTCATCACTGGCCTGACACAAACTGATTTGCTCTTGTCAACTCTGGTCAGGCTTACTACTCCGATAGTGGAGTGCCTATTGACTTTGATGCAGTTCTGCAGGAGTCTTTTCAGGTTAGTTGTGCGATTCATGAGTGGCTGGATGAGAATCACGTAGGGGAGAAACCATTTAATTTCAACTTCACTAAAAAATGTTATACATTGAAACTTGAACCTCGAGTGGATCGAGCTTTGCCACGAATCACATATAAGCTGTCAAGAGTGTCCTTTGACCGGCCGTGAGAGGATGAGGACGGCCATGCTTTCCTTGCACCGTGCAGTGCCAATGCGCAGTTTCCGCGTTTGGCAACGCTGCGGAAGAGCCAGGAGGACCTTTTGCAAGACGGATCGACACGGCAGCAAGCGGAACCAAAATTGACACTGCGAATAAACATTTTGCTTCTTGACCCAGTAGATTAATCATGGTGCGACCGGGGAGGACCAAGGAAGGATACGTATGAGTACGGACAGGATTTTCTTGCACACCAAATTCGGATTCACTTTCAAGGCCAAGAAGAGACAAGATCATAATTGCGGGCACTTGAGGTAACTACTATGTTCCACGATCGCACACACGTTTGGAAGACTGAAGCAGGCAAACCAGAGAGGCAAGATCCCCTTTGGCAGCAACGTTCTTGCAGGAGTTGAAGTACCGCCATTGCTTCACTCGCCTTGCACATTGGATGATGCCCTTTTGCTTACGCTGGTGATTATCCGTACCTCTATAGTTCTCGTGTGGGATGATCTCGGTATTTGATTGTTGAAGTTGAAGGAATTGGTCTGACAATCCAAGGTCAGGGCTCTTGCTACATACGCCGATTCAGGCTCCACAAGATCTAAAGTTCCTTAGAGAATTGCTGATGATTTTGGCCTGCCACTAGGCTAATTAGACAACTTTCCATGGAGGTACAGAAGACAGCTTTTTCTTGTCGGGAAGCAGGTCTGTGATTGAATTGGACAGTATAACAAATATACCAGAAGTTGACATTCACTCAAGGCATGCCAGAGGAGCCGGGTGCTTTTTCACCGCCGCCCCCTCCGGACGGCAGCCTTCACCTGCGCTTTGCTTGGTCCTTTGCACGGCGATGCGTGCGATGCCTCCGAATCCCAACATGAAATAGAGAGAGAGAGAGAGAGAGATGCGTTTCATTGCGTTTCTTCATCTTCCTTTTCTTTTTTCTTTCTTTCTAATAGCGATGGCCTTCAACCTAAGAGGTGTTCCGTGTGATCAATCAAGCACCACAATCACATGGTCCAAGGGGATTTCAAGAGGGTCGAGGGGGTTTGTGACTACGGTGGCTGAAGAATATAGTATATAGTTTCAGAAGACAAGAACAAGAACGGGCATTTCTATTGATTTGATGATCAACCAAAAGATTCCTTTTTAGTGCTTCAGCAGCTGTGCTGTCATTTTGGAATGCTTCGACAGCGCGGGAAACCTAGTTTGCATTTTCTCCGCCGGCCGGCCGGCTAGTACGCGATCGGCCGGCCGGCCAGCTAGTATATGCGATCGGCTGGGCAGGCCGCGATCGGCCGGATAGGCCGCGATCGGTCGGCCGGCTGGCCATGTACATCGTTGCTACAACAGCTGCTAGTGTGTAGTTAGTTGACTGGGCGGGGGGCCGGCTATTCGGTTGTTCAGTGTCTAGCATGCATAGTTGGTACTGGTAGTGAAAGTAGCAGTCGCAGTAGCAGTAGCAGTAGCAGTAGGAGCAGTAGTAGTAGTAGTAGTAATAATAGATAGTAGCAGATAGTAGATAGTAGATATAGTAGATAGTAGATAGTGGTAGTAGTAGTAGAAGAAGTAGTAGTAGTAGTCGTAGTAGTAGATAGTAGTAGATAGTAGTAGTAGTAGTAGTAGAAGAAGTAGTAGTAGTAGTCGTCGTAGTCGTCGTAGTCGTAGTAGTCGTAGTAGTCGTCGTCGCTGGCTGGCTGGCTGGCTGGCTGGTGCCGTGGTTTTAGACTGATCGAGAAATAGCGGTCCGCGTTAAGCGCGCAATGATCTCTTTGCTGTTTGGCTGTGGGTGTCTGAGAACGAAACGACAGAATTTCTAGGGGAGAATGATGGGGTCTTAACATCGGACCGCGTGAGAAGTCATCTGTCCTTTGCGGTCGTATCAAGTCTTCATGCGTCGTGAGACGGGCCATGTCAGCACGACGTATCCATTCCAGATGACATGGGTCGCTCTTTGGCTTGCCTAGGA